AAACATAGACTATGCTAGAAGGGAAGTTTTAAAAGTGTAGAAAAATAATTCTAGCCAAAGAAAAGACCAACAGAAATTACATCTTGTGAACCACATTTTCAGTTAATTTTAACTTAAACTAATTGACAGATTTATAAGTTGTCAGAAAAATAATCTTGTACTAAATTAAGTGATGTAAGCTTGATAAGTACATGCTACATTTTTTGTACATTATGAAGAAACTGAATTTGAGCATTTATTGCCAAATGGAACTCAACTTTAACTAGAGTCAAGACTAGCATCTCCCTAATTACAGGGGTTCCCAATCTGCGGTACACATACCACCAGTGGTACGCAGACCACCTGTCAGTGGTACACATTAACAGATTTATTATAATTACTTTATATGACAAAAATTTGCTGGTGGTACTTAAGGTTGTATCTTTTTAAATTGGTGGTGGCACAACCTATCAGAGTTTGGGAACCACTACGTCTAACATATACATTATGGATGGCCTGCCAACATAACTAGGGGAGACATAAAACATACCTATAAGAGAGACTTGATTGATTTATGAAAAGGTTATGATATGGTTGTTCAAAGACTTGGGTTCAAGGTACTGGTTCAAACTTTAGTTCAGAGACTCAAGAACACAAGGGCAACTTTTCAGAGATTTGGCAACTAACTGTTAGCATGCCTGTATGATTATGCTCAAACCTACATAAATGAACATCGTCTTCAGCACCAGCTGCAAAGAACACCTAAAACATGAGGGTTATGCTGGAAAGACTTAAATAAGATATCATAGTGTTTAAATGTAATATGGACTATATTACCAGGTTGGGAGTGGGGATGACAAATACACCCCAATACCTTGAACATGAAAGCCATTTTATATTGGCATGTATCAAGAACTAAAAACAAGCTCAGTCCTTGATATAGCTTGCAAATTACTACAGGAGGTTTTGGAACAGCTAGAGAAAAGGCAGAGGAAGAGACAATAGCTGGCAAGGATGTTAGGGTTTTGGAGGATCATAGATTCAACATGAGTCAACTTCACAATGAAGGTGGTGTTTAGGAACAGTCAGCATAGACTCCTCAAGGGCAAGTCATGCCTGACCAACCTGATTGCCTTCTGTGATGAGATGACTGCCTCTGTGGCTAATCGGGAGCACAGTGGATGAAACATACCTTGACTTTAGCAAGACTTTTGATACCAGTCTCCCACAACATTCTTACAAGCAAATGAAGGAAGTAAGGTTTGGATGAAGAGACTGCAATATGGATAGAAAGTTGGCTGGATCTTCAGGCTGAAGAGGTAACAACCAATGGCTCAATATCTAGTCGGCAGCCGGTATCAAGTGGAGCGCCCCAAGGGTCAGTCATGGGGCCTGTCTTCATCAATGATCTGGAAAATGGGATGGAGCGCACCCTTGGCAAGTTTGCAAATGCCACCAAGGTGGGGGGATAGTAGATACGCTTGAGTGTCAGATTAGCTTTCAGAGAGCTAGACAAATTGGAGGATTGAACCAAAAGAAATCCCACGAGGTTCAATAAGGACAAGTGCAAAGTCCTGCACTTAGGATGGAACAATCCCAAGCATGGGTTGGTACAGGCTGGGGACTGACTGGCTAAGCAGCAACTCTGTACAGAAGGACCTGGGGGTTACAGTGGACAGCCAGTGGAGTATGCTCTTGTTACCAAGAAGTCTAACAACATACCGGGCTGTATTACTAGAGGCATTGCCAGCAGATAGAGCAAAGTGATTGTTTCTCTCTGTTCAACACTGGTGAGGCCACATCTGAAGTACTGTGTCCCCCCTACAGGAAGGATGTGGATAAACTGGAGGGAGTCCAGCAGAAGGCAACAAAAATGGTTAGAAGGCTGAAGCACATGACTATTGAAGAAAGACAGAGGGAACTGGGCTTATTTAGCAAAAAGCAGAGGAGAGGAGACTGAAAGGGGATTTAATAGCAGCCTTTAACTACCTGAAGGATGGTTCCAAAGAGGATGGAGCTGGACTTCTCTCAGTGGTGGCAGATGACAGTACAAGAAGCAATGATCTCAAGTTGCAGCAAGGGAGGTTTAGGTTGGATATTAGGATAAACTCTCTCACTAGGAGGGTGGTAAAGAACTGGAACAGGTTACCCAGAGAGGTTGTAGACTCTCTGGCCTTGGAGGTTTTTAAGAGCCAGCTAGACAAGAGCGTTGGCTGAGATGATCTAGTTGGGGATGGTCCAGCTTTGAGCAGGTGGTTGAACTAGATGACCTACCTTCAACCCTAATTTCCTATGATTCTGTAAGTTAACTTAGTGATTCTCAGTCTTCCAAAGCAAAGCATTATTAGACATGGCAAGGGTAAAACATGGGATGTTGAAGCTGCCCTGAGGTAGTAGTGTGCAATCACCCTCTTTTTCTACCATGCTTTTTCTCTTTTTCTAATTCTACTCATTTGCCCACCATTTTTTTTAATGGCTACCATGCCTTGTGATTTTTTTCTCCATGCCTCAACAGGATTCAAAATGGCTCTACCAGCATAACTATGCCCTTCCTAATCATGAATGCTATCATCCTTTTGTATTTGCACCACAATTGTAAGAAAAAGAAGTAAAAATACTGTGTATCCATGGAAAAAAAGAATGGCCAGATGAGCAGAACTAACGGACACTGCAGTGGATGGCTGGGAACCACAAGCTGACAGAGCAGGGCTGGGCAAAATACAGCCTGTGGGCTGCATCAGGCCCACCAACTGATCGTATCTGGCCTGCAGGTTTGGTGTCTACAAAGTTGTGAGATCCAGCCCATGGGGAGCCAGTGGCTCCAACTGCTGCATCATGCTGGGCAGGTGGGAACATTTCAGCCCCATCCAGTTTACACCAGCTCCTGGCCTATGTGCCAGAAGCAGCACTGGATGCATGGCATCAGCTGTGGACTCTGCTAGCAGGTTCCTGGTGGGGACTGAAGCGACTGCCTGGGACTGCAGCTGATGCACTGACAGTGGGCTCCAGGCGGCGGCAGCCAGAAGGGCCCCAGCAACGGCGAGTGTGCCTGTCACCAAGTCCCATTTTTTCCCAGGACTGGTCGCTGCCACTCATCATGGGTGGGGGGGGCAGAGCTGCCTCTCTCTGTCCCTCCCAACCCCCCCCTCAAATCATGGTACACCTACGGCACGTCCCCGCAGCTTAACCGGCTCCTGGCACATGCTGGAAGGAGCACCAGATGGGCACTGGCATCAGCTGTGGACACAGCCAGCAGATTCCTGATGAGGATCAGGGCATTGGCCCAAGCCCCTCCTTGGGGTAGAAAGGCAGCCTGGAGGTGGCACTGGTGGCAGAGGGGGCCCTGACTGAGCTGCTCTAGATGAGGCTGCTGCCCATACCCATGCCAGCTCCCTATGGCCCCATCCTGCATAGGGAGGTTTGGCAAGTTGTCGTACAAGGTGGGGGAAAACAGTGCTGACTCAGCTTGTGACAGCTCTTCAAAATTCCCTATGTGGCCTGCAGGCCCAAATAATTGCCCACTCCTGTGAGAGAAGCATCTGTTGGCCACCTGAGGCCTGGCTGTGGGCTCAAGAGACAAGACTGGGCTGGTACTAGAACATTACATTTGACTTATTCTGCTTTCCTGCCATCCATCCAGACTTAGACTTTAGTATAAGGTTATGATGTAGGTACTGGTGCCTTACAGGGACCAATTTACAGACAATAACATGTGTTGGAAACATCAGGAAAAGTACACTATGCTTACATAGGGCTCTTCCAAAAGTTGCAAGCAGGGACATTCTTTCCTAACTGCCACATTCACATGGGGACATTGAAATGTCTATAATCATTCTGGGTAATTCAGCCTACCCTCTCTGTTCTTGGAAGCCACAGGATGGCAAGTATGAATAGCAGCAAGGAGGTTTAAGGTACTAAGTAGATGTATGCTAAATGTTAAATACTCTGAATGTCTGAAGGAATGCTGGAGAAAAGGCTTAGGACAAAGCTTGACCTTAATGAGGAAAGCATCCCAGTAGCTGTGAAAAATATAGCAGACAACAAGTACATTTGTCAGGCTAAAGGAAAAAGACTTACTGTGGGAATACCTAATGAAGGGGAGGCAAATGTCTGCTAGTTTTGAGCAGCTTGACACGAGAACTGTCAGTAGGGCCCATCCTGGTGCTGTAAGGATACAGGAAGCACTAAGGCTAATTCAGTTTCTCCGCTCCCAGGAGAAACCACAAGTATACAGATGTTCAGGATTCTTCTCCCAGAGCAGAAATGGCCACTTCAGGAAAAAAAATCCAGAAGCAACCAGTGTTAAATTTCTCCTTGGAGAGTGAATGTCTATACACAGTCTTCTGAGAAAAGCCAGCACACAATCCTCAGGTATCCCAGGTCTCTTTGTTCCCCTGTACTCAAGAGACTGTGTCACTCACTGGACTCTGGTGCTCCAGCCAAGCAGACAGCAAAACACACCCCCTTCAAAACCACACACTGTGCTGCAGATACACACAAGCTAACTCTGAGTAGTCTGGGTCAACTGATCAGGGCTACCCTGTGCACTGCTGCCATCCGTCTCTGGGGAGACTGAAGAAGTCTGCAGAGCATGCTGGCATGTGTACACAGGTTCTCCCTGGCTATGCAACATCAGCACATCAAGCTCTCTGCCCTTCAAGGTCTCAGCAATTTAAATGTCTGTTTCCAGGTAAGTTATTCTACTAGGAAAACAAACCTGGAAAATTATCCCAGATCATATATATATATA